ACACTGCAGGCACTGGGGCCAGCCATGATTCCTGTCACACTGCAGGCACTGGGGCCAGCCGTGATTCCCATTACACTGCAGGCACTGGGGCCAGCTGTGATTCCCGTCACACTGCAGACACTGGGGCCAGCTGTGATTCCTGTCACACTGCAGACACTGGGGCCAGCTGTGATTCCCGTCACACTGCAGGCACTGGGGCCGGCCATATTCTCTACTTGGCATTTCTTTCCTCCCTTGACCCTGGCCCCCTCTCCTTGCTCTACGTTTCCCTAGCTCCCCAGCTGAGGCTGCCATCTGTAAAGCCTGTTGCCTCAGGACACAGAATTCACTGGAGCAGAAGGAAAGCTGTGTATAAGGCTGGTGGCTCTCATAATCAGATAAACATCGCGGAAAGCTCGCTCATTCGTGTGGAAGAGCCAGTGTTGCAGCTAAACGCTGGAGCCGTGAGCCACCCGGCTCCAGGCTCTGGCATCTGTACATTAGGCCTGCTCGGCCTGCCGCATTTTTATTTGTGATACTGAAAGAGCCAAGGAGTGCTGACTGCTGCTTCTGCCATTCAGTGATCACAGAACCTTTATTTGAACCCGTGGAAGAAACGCTATATCCCACTTTTTTTTTTTAACTAAATGATGAAATCAGTCACAAATAGGACATCTGTGATTTTTACACTCAGCAAAGTACCTTCTGTATAATCACAGTAGGTCTGCGGTGTTTTTCTTTTCACTCTCAATCTCTTTCATATAACCTAACTTCCTTCCTAAGCAATCTCTAAGGTATCCAAGACTTTGGCTGCCAGAGTTTTGCAGCCTGTGAGTCTGCTCTCCTTTCCTGGTGACATCAGTCACAGTACAGGCAAATGCCCTGAAGAGTTCTGAGAATGGCCTGATTTCTGAGGAGGAAAGCTTCTCAGGTCCTGCCCTTTGATTGGCCATAATTTGTCTAGGCAAGCTCTGCTGGCACTTGGAAACCCCACTTGTCCCTGGGGACAACGATCTCTTCAGTCATGTGATACAGACTTCTAGGACTAGGACCTGAAGCCCCGCCTGCTGGTGTAGGCAATAATAAAGCTTCTGTGGAGGTGAGCGAACAGCTGATGGCATGAGGGGCATGGAGAGGACTCCGACAGTGGCAACCTATGATCTGCCAGGCTGGTGGTCAGAGCAGGCAAGAACAAAAGCCTGTCTGTCTGCCAGTACTTTGAAAAATCCGTGTGTTGGGTTCTTTTCTCTTTGCTTTCTTCCTGGCTGAAAGGGAGAATGCTCACCCAGCAGTCGGCAGAATCATTCCAGGCAAGTGCCCATTCAGGAGTCTTACCTGCCTGTCCTATTACCACTGTGAGTTCTGAAAAGGACCCAAGTTTATCTGAACTGCTTAAAAAGTCATTGGCAGAGGAACTTTTTTCTCAAACTCACCATGCAAAAATTGGATCCTATTGGCCTAGTGTTGTAACGGGTTTGTGTTCCATATAGCTGCTCACCTAAGTATTAATTTCACTAATGCAGACTTAGGTGCTCATTTGGTGCCTGAGTGGGAAATGCAGGAATACGCTTTGGGCAGCATATTTCATAATATACGTGTAAGTGTTGACTTAATGTTGAGAGTTGATGGAAAATGTTCAAGACATAGTTGTGTGCCCGGATTGTTAGGTCTTAGCAGAGATGGTATCAAGTAGTGCTGTCCCAGGGTGAGAGTGGTGGAGGACTTACTAATGACTTGTGAATCTCTAGACAAGTTTCTCTTAAGAGCTGCTGTGCGGCTCGGCGCCTATAGCTCAACCGGCTAGGGCGCCAGCCACGTACACCTAAGGTGGCGGGTTCGAATCCCCAGCCCGGACCCGCCAAACAACAATGACGGCTGAAACCAAAAAATAGCCGGGCGTTGTGGCGGGCGCCTGTGGTCCCAGCTACTTGGGAGGCGGAGGCAGGAGACTCGCTTGAGCCCAGGAGTGGGAGGTTGCTGTGAGCTGTAATGCCATGGCACTCTACCCAGGGGACAGCTTGAGGCTCTGTCTCAAAAAAAAAAAAAAAAGAGCTGCTGTGCAGATGTGAATATGTTAGAGGCGTAAGGTCTTGGCGAACTTTCCCTTTCTGCTTCTAAGAAAGATGGTGTGAGAAGGAAAGACTTCTGAGATTAAAGAACTCTCCTGTTCTTCCATGTGTCGCTGAAGTTAGCCTTAAGAGGTTAGCAGATGGCTTTAAATAAATGCTAATCATTTTTTAGTATTCTTTAAAGCCTAAAAATGGTCTGCTGATGATAAGTAAGAGAAAAGATTTTTGGTTGTTCATAGTGGTTTTATTTAAAAGTCCATCACCAAAAAGTTTTGTAACTTTACTGGTCTTTATAACACATCGTAAGACAAAAGATTAGATTTAAAATGAAGATTAGATTCAAAATAATCTTGAGTAAAGGAGATAATTGGTATTTTGTTGGTTTGGGGTTTTTTTGGTTTGGTTTGTTTGTTTGTTTTGAAACCGAGTCTTACATTGCTGCCCTGGATAGAGTATTGTGGTATCATCATAGCTCACAGCAACCTCAAACTCTTGGGCTCAAGTGATCCCTCTTGCCTCAGCCTCCTGAGTAGCTGACAAAATGGTCAATATTTAATAGCATTTAATACATACATTAGTTGAAGCTCTTTTTTTATTTGCTGAAAACCAGTTTGGGCCAGGAAATGTGTCAGGCACCAGGGATCAGTGTTGAGGGAGTCAGTTGCTCTCCTGCTTACCCAGAGAGCTAGTGAAGAAGCATCTCCTCATTGAGGCAGTGCATCTAGTATTTCACTTGACATTTTCTGTTAGAAAATAAAATTAATTTTTAATTGGTCATTATAGTTTAAATCAAGAGATTTTTCAGAGTAACAAGGAAAGTAGCTCAAGGAACTCAACTATTTGACAGTGTAGGAAAAAATAAGAAATAGATAGGAGGTATAGAGTAGAATCTGTGTAGTTGGCCACCTCCCTACAATGCCCACCTCCTTAGAAGTTGACCTGAATTTCATAGACCACACATGCACCACATGTGCAATCAGTACCACAGGCCTGCTTCTTTATGTTGACCACTTCCAGATGTCGACCAGTTTACTACAGTCCCTTGGGTGGTCTGTTTAGAGAGGTTCTGCTGTATTTTGTTTCAGAGGATCTCATTTGATCTAGGATATAGGCCACTTACACAGTTCGTTTCTCTCACCAGGTCACTCTCATCCTGAACTTAATTTGACATATCTCTATCTTTCTGGTGTTAATTTTATAGAGAAAATTTTCTGATAATTTTATAGAGAAAAAAAGAGTGAAAGACATTTTCCAGTAAAACCTAAGATCGTCAAAAGAAGGGGGAGGCTCAGATGACCCTAAATCCATAAAGTATCTCCAGATCTTATTTTTGCCACATCTCACCAGAACACTAGCAGAGAGCCTAAATTAAATACCGTTTCTCACTTCCGCTCCTTTCACAGCTATTACTTTGGCACAGAACCTATTTAGAGGAAAACAATCCCAGTGGCAATGGCACGAAGTAGCAGGGGGCAGGTTGAATGAACACAAGTGTTAGTCTGTGTCTTAGACTCTCCAATATGGTACAAATGCTTTAGCACCAAGGTTTTGTCTTATCTTTCTCTCTTTATGAAAAGAGTTTGATTTTTGTGGGGCTCAGAGATTGGCTTGCTTATGAATGGCTAAGAAAATCCAGGGGACTTCCGCTGACATGGCATGATAAATGAGAGTCTGTCCTGATCAAAGCATATAAACAAAAAGAGGGCCTTTGAAGGTCTTTATACACCCTGCTGAGTCTGTTGTCTTGGACCCCCCCCCCCCGCCCCCGAACAAGGAAAAGCAGCTCTCACCCCAGGTGTTAGTGATGTGTGTGAACTCAAGGTGGAAGCAGCACCCAAGTCCCTTCCCAAGTCCCCTTCCTCTGTGGGAATACTATTACTGTGTAGACTTCATCTTGGACTCTGTGGGGAGCTACAGGGAGGAAGAAGAGATAAGCTGAAGGGCTAGAATGGAGCTGTGAGGAAAGCAGGAATTGTGGGTCCCAGAGGATGTGAATGTTAAATTTTGTTCAACTTCTTTTTTTTTTTCTTTTTTGTTTTCTTTTGGCTTAGTGAAGAATGTTCCAGTCTCTCTTCTGTGCCACAAGAAGTATCACTGTTACTCACAGCTGATTTCCCTCTATAGATTTGCTGTGCTATTCTGTTTTTCATTTTTTTCCTTAACTGTTTTATTTTAAACTTCCAAAGTGTCCACATCAGCTTCACGTATCTCTTCTAATGAAATATGTATTTAAGTAACATCATGGTTAGTCTCTAGTCATTTATCATAAATTTTATGTTAAACCAAGATGTTGAAGCAGGAAGTATGAGGAATAAATGTTTTAATATTTGTTGTTTCTTACTTTGCCTTCTCTTTTCCATTTCAGACTTTGTGGATTAATCAAGTTTTATTCTCAAGTTTTTATCACCTTTTGACTTTCATAATTTTTGGTCACATTGTACTCTGTAAATATCTAAGAGAAGGGACTGATGAGGGAAGATATGTTGTAACATTAACATTTAAGAGTTAACACCAGTTTTTTCTCTTCTTGTGCTTCATTTAGATTTCGGCATAGCCCCAACTGCTGGTACCTGAGAGATTGGACTATCCACACTTGGATTAGGCAGTGTCTAAAATATGGTGCCCAAGACAAAGCCTTATATACCCTTATAAATAAGGTGAGTGGTTTCCTGGGATCTGCAGCCTGTTTTTCTGAGTTTATATGATGTGATGTTTGTACCTATTAGAGTACAGCAAAAATAATGCCAGGAATAACTTTTTAAAATCATTTTCCCTGAGCTACTTGGGAGGCTGAGGCAAGAGAATTGCCTAAGCCCAGGAGTTGGAGGTTGCTGTGAGCTGTGTGATGCCATGGCACTCTACCAAGGGCGATAGAGTGAGACTCTGTCTCTACAAAAAAAAAAAAAATCATTTGCCCTCAATATCCTTTTTAGAGTGGTATTTTTTAAACTCCCAAGTGATTCTAATTTGGAGCCTTGTTTGAGAATCACTGACCAGTAAATTTCTAAGGTCCCGCCCAATTTTAATGATTTATCATCCTAAAATATCTTGTTTTTACCTTACCCCTAAAGATTAGTACTGATCTGGATGACTGATTTGAGAACTGTCCATAAACTACAACCTTTAAAACAGTGGCTTTTAAACATCTTTCCATTTCACCACACCTGAGGCATCCTGTACCTGCCTCGTGCAAATAGTCAATTCAGTATAATTCACAGTTAGGAGTTAGGACAGTGTCAGAATCTCCCAGCAGGATGAGTACAGGTTTAAACATTCTTCAGGTGTGTCTAATGGCTGGTGAGGGCAGAATGGAGAGCAGTGTGGGGGTGGTAGTTACCTCTATTGGAGTAAGAATGTGAAACTTCTGAAAATGCAGCCACAATCTCCGTTATTAGTAGTCAAACCTGAGTGGGCTTGAAAACCACGTAAGAAGCTCTCTAAAACTTCAGATTTCTGTGCACAATTCCCAGAGGGTCTGATGCTGCAGGTCAGAGGCTTAGGAATCTGTATTGTTAAAAGCACTCTTAGAAAATTCTGAGGGAAATGCTAAAGGGTCCACATTTTAAGAAATCCAAATTCTCAAATATTCAACATTCCTAGGTGCTTGGTTAGTAGTAAATAATTGTCGGCATTTTTCTTGGGTCTTCAGAAGCCAGGCTGAGGACCAGAAAGTGCTGCATAATGCATGCTTTCTCATGGGAGGTTTATTTTTGCATTGTTATTCATACTTTATGAAAAGAGTCACTGAACCAGCAGAGAAGGATGTGCATGGAGTTTTGTTTGTTTTTTTCTTTCTTCTTCCTTTCTTTTTTCTTTCTTTTTTTTAAAGCTATCTTGAGGTGTTAGAACTGAGCTTTATTTTTCACATATCATTTGTCTTATATCAGACACCTACTCACAACTTTCTCACCCTGACCAGCAGTTCCAGTTACCAAACCCCATGAGTCACGGCTTCTATTTCACTGTCACAGATGCTGTAAAATGATAGTCAAATATTTTAAAGCTAATGGTGGCAAGTTTTATCCTGAATAATACATGGGCATATATTACAGACTGAATTAAAGTGGATATTTTTTTCTTTTTTTCCTTTTATTTCCATTTTTATTACAGGTTCAATATGGCATTTTTCCAGATAACTTTACATTCAATCTGCTGATGGATTCTTTCATAAAGAAAGAAAATTACAAAGGTAAGAAACCAAAGTCAGATCAGTTATTAGAGGGCTCCCAACTCCTATTTTATTTCTTGGTGTCTTCTCCTTACATCACTCTTTCAGTCACCAAAGTTTCAATGAAAATTATCACCATTTGTATAACATTTTTACAGATATTATCCTTTTTATTGTTGTTAGCATAGAAAATATCAAAGTATATAAATGATTATAGAGGAAAAGTAAATTATACAGACCCATCTAATTTTATTTCCCAGGCTGTCTGAAATGCAGAGTATAATTAAACGATAAAGTAAATTTATTTTCACAGATAATTTTAGATTCAGTAATGAACAATTGGCAGAACTGAGTTTTTTTTTTCAAACAGAGTTTTTAGCTTTGGGTTCTTTTAAAATATTATTGGCTTGTTTCTTTATTTAAAGAAACAGATCCTTATTTTGCTGCTAATTTACTAGATGAATGTCCTAGTCTGCCTATCTCAGTTTCCCTACTTGTGAAAAGAACATAGAAATTCAGGCCTCATTCAGGACGGGGACAGCGTGTGCAAAACTGGCTGGCTAGGAGCAGCTGCAGATCAGTGCTGACTCTGATGGTTATGAGTATACCCAATAGTTGGCTAACAGAGTAACTCAGTCAAAAACGTTTGTTGTGCTTGGGATAAAGTGCAGGTACCATATTTTCAACTAATATTGGTGTTCTCTACCAGCCGTTAACTAAGGGAAAGAAATTGCTCGAACTTGATTTTCTTGGCTTCCATCTGTGTTAGAGAATATCAAGGGAAAATAAAATTTGTTGAAGGCCTGATTTTCCATGACCAGCGTTCATATGGAAACAAATGCATGTTATACACAGGGGCTGATATTTATAAATAAGCGATTTCTTTTCCCTTCCTTCAAGTCTTTTAAACTGAACTGTATTGTCTTTTTGATAGTCACCGCTTTTTCCTTTGAAATAATACCTGGGATTTAGGAGTTCTTTAGTTTTTCCTTCCTGCCTGATCAGTGAGGAGGTCCTAGAGTGGAGAATGGGGCCGTCAGCCCACCCTTTTCTGCTCTGTTTGTCAGGGTGACCTTGAAAAACAGATGTGCCTCTTTTCTCTATGCCTTCGCTCCTCTAGCGGATGGACATGATGTCTTACTTTGCTTCACAATTTATGAAGCATTTTCATATGTATTATCTTGTTGGGCTATCCAGAATTCTTTTGAAGTAGATGACACAAGTAGGAGGATGATACTGGGAGCCAAAAAAAATGGTTTCATTCAATGTCCTGGAGGACATGGCACAGCAGCACTTGATTTAGTGTGTTACACTGAAGCCTAACTTGTGGAAGAACTATGACCAGAGCCCACAGTTTTTTCCCTTCTTAATTATGCTTATTCATTCATTCATTCATTCATTTATTTATTTATTTTACCACACCCTACTTTTTAGAATAAACATCTTGGTGATGTTACCTACAACTAATTTCTTCTCCTTTTTTTCTTTCATCTCTTTGCTAGATGCTTTATCGGTGGTTTTCGAGATTATGATGCAAGAGGCCTTTGACTTGCCGTCCACCCAGCTTCTCTCCCTTTTTGTTTTATATCATTGCCTGGAACAGAAGACAGACTTGAGTGTAAGTGATCTGCCCGAAAGCAGGACTGTGAGCTTTACTTAGGTCTGAGGTATCCAGGGAGGAAACCTTGTCCTCAGAGTCTGGAGCAAGGTATCTGGTGTGCAGCTCTGTGCCATGCACAGGCAGGAGTGACTTGAGTGTTCATTCTGCATATTAATGTCTTAGTGTAAAGTGAAACTGGCTGTTTATCCATTTGACAGAACTCAAGTGAAAGTCCTTGTGCACATTTTGAAACTTGCACTAGACTGAGTGTGCCTCAGACATTCAGAAAAGGATCATTGATGATCACTGAGAGCTGGACATAGTGTGTCAAAGAAGCAAGTGAGGCAGCTTTTACCTGACCTAAGGTATTAAGTACTGGTAATTTGTATCAGTAGGCTGGGTGAGGCAGCTCATGCCTGTAATCCTAGCACTCTGGGAGGCCAAGGCAAATGGATTGCCCAAGCTCAGGAGTTGGAGACCAGTCTAAGCAAGCCTGAGACCTCGTCTCTAAAACTAGCAGGGCATTGTGGCGGGCGCCTGTAGTCTCAGCTACTTGGGAGACTGAGGCAAGAGGATCACTTGAGCCCAAGAGTTTGAGGTTGCTATGAGCTATGATGCCACGGCACTCAGCCCCAGGACGACAGAGTGAGACTCTGTCTCAGAAAAATAAATAAAAATAGTTTATATTAGTATTTTTCTAAGGTTACTCCCGGGTAATCTTGTTCTGGAAGGTCCAGAACACCAGGTTTGGGTTTCAGTAGGTTGGGGTATTTAGTTATCTCTTACTGCTGTCCTAAGAACAACAACAGTAATACCAACCACTAGTATCCATGTAGCACTTACCTGACACCAGGCTGTGTTGTTGATGTTTTAAATTTATTAATGTGTCTAATCCTTATAAGAAGTCTATGCAGAAGAGAAGACTAGAGTATCGAAATGTTACAGAATAACTACCTAGCTGATAGGTAATAAGCCACCTGGTGAAGCTGACGGTCTGGTTCCGCAGTCTGCCCTTAACCTCAAATGTAACATCAAAAATTCCCAGCTTGGGTAAAAACTGAGAAGGTCATCTGGTGCAGCCACATTCTAAAGAATCGATGGTATATTGTGCCTTTCTGAGTGTCATAGCCTATAATGTATCCCACATTTATTAATTCATTCTGTATTGAACACCTACTCATCCCATAGTTTGCCAAGCGCTAGTTATACAGTGGTGAGCAAATACTTCTTGCTTACAACCTGGGAAGAATACAGACATTTAAAACAAACAAACACCCAAGTATAAAATATGGGCATTGCGAAGAAGTATGTGAACAGCCTATGCACGTATTGTAGGGGGTTTGGTTTGTATTATAAACTTAAATTGGTTAGGAAGGACTTCCTTCAGGAAATATTTCTTTAGTGTTTGAAGAATGACTAGTAATTAGCTGAAGAGGGGGAGAAGAGTTCAAGAAGAGGAGATAATATGTACAGATGCCTTGTGGCAGAAAGAACATGGTGAGCAGAAAAGGGCAGAAGAGGATAGTTGGTGTAACTACGACAGGGAGAATGATAGGGAGACATGGTAAGATGAGCTTGGGGGCCACGGGTGAGATAAGGTTGGAGAAGGTAGGCTGCATGTTCTTCCTAAGAATGGTGACAAGCCCTTGACAAGTTTTAAGCAGAGAAGGACAGGTGTTCAAATTTATTTTTTGAGAAGCCCCTCTGGCTGTGTTGTGGACAGTTGATCAGAGTAGGCAAAGACGGCTATGGCCAGGCTGTTGTGTAGCCCCAGCAAGAGACGATGGTAGTGTAGGGATCAGGATGTAGTGGCGTAGAGTAGCAGTGGGCTGCCACAAGATGAGAAACTAGATGTGGGGCAAGGACACAGGGGTCAAACATTCTCTCCTCAATTTCTGACTCAGATATCTCGGGTGCCATGTGTTTGCAAAGGGAACTCTGGGAAAAGACCAGGTTTTACGAGGAAAATCATTAACCTGGCTCTGAACATAGGTTCCATTTTGAAGTATTCTTGAGACAGTCAAGAGACTTTACCACGGGAGATGCCTCAATCTTCTTCCTGCCACCAGTCAGCTAAGCTTTGCCCCAAGTGACCAATCACTTTCTTCTTGGGGTGCCCTTGTCGCACTCAGTCACTGTGCTCATGCTTTTCCTTCACAGCGTCTATTGCAGCTGGTGGCTGTCTGCCTGTGACAAATAAAAGTATTGATGAGGGTTTTTTTTTTTTTAGGCAGAGTCTCAAGCTATTGCCTTAGATAGAGTGCCATGGCATCATGGCTCACAGCAACTTCCAACTTGGGCTCAAGTGATGCTCTTGCCTTAGTTTTTCTATTTTTAGTAGAGATAGGGGTCTCAATTTTGCTCAGACTGGTCTTGAACTTGTGAGCTCAAGCAATCCACCCACCTCAGCCTGCCAGAGTGCTAGGATTACAGGCATGAGCTACCATGCTCGGCTGCATTGATGAGTTCTTAGAAAAAAAAAAGAGATTCTACCAAGGAAATTAGAGGTTTGATGGAAGATCTAGACCAGAGATGATAATTTTGGAGATTAATTTATATATCCACATGTAAATGTCTGTAGGAAAGCCAGAGAACAAAAAGAAGGAAAACCAGCAATGTGTTGGACCACAGAATCCGTGGGAAGGGAGTGGTGTACAGTGCAGAATGCTCCCGAGAGGGCAGGGAAGATGAGAAGTGAAGAAAGCTCACTGAATTTAGTAGCATGAGGTACTTACTACATTGTGACCTTAGTTTCCATAGAATAAGGGAGCAGGAAACCAAACTGGAAAGTGGATTATAGCGGATTTAGAGGTGCAGAAAGGAGACAGGAGTATAGGTAATTCTTTTGCGATGTCCGGCTACAAGGAGGAGTGGGATGGAGGGTTGAGTGGGAGAATGTGGATTTAATCGTTTTAATGGACAAGGCAACGTACAAAATGGGAAAGCCTTGAGGACATTGGTGAAATAGCATCTGAATTAGTCCATTATCGTATCTATGATAGACAATCACAAAAAGTATTCTTAAATTCTTCTTTTTAAATTTATATATGTGTGTGTGTGTGTGTGTATTTTTTTAACCCCGACTTGATTCCTAGCTCATCAAGATGGCTATTGCTCTGAAATTTTACTGCTCGCCTGGGCTGGAGTTCACTGACATCATCATAGCTCACTGCAGCCTCAAACTCCTGAGCTAAGGCTCAGCCTCTGGGAGAGATGGGACTGTGTACATGCACCACTACACCCAGATAATTTTTTTATCTTTTTGTAGAGATGAGGTCTTGCCAGGCTGTTCTCAAACTCCTGACCTCAAGTGATGTTCCTGCCTAGGCCTTTTGAAGTGCTAGCATTACAGGCGTGAGCCACTGCACTCAACCGAAAATTTCTAAGGGATTTATCTGATTGTTTTCATTCATCTTTTTAAAAATCCTGAGCAGCACCTGTGGCTTAAAGGGGTAGGGTGCCAGCCCCAAAAACCTGAGGTGGTGGGTTCCAACCTGGCCCTAGCCTTGGCAAAAAAAAAAAAAAAGTCCTTTCAAAATATCACCATCCTAGTTACAGTCACCATCCCTGCTTGATTCCTAGTTCGTCAGATAGCTACTGCTCTGAAATTTTACTGCTCATTTGGCTTTCAGCTACTGTTACGTCCTGATACTATAGCTCATGTTTTTCTCTACAAGGATTTAAAAAAAAAAAAAGAAAGAAAGAAAAACCAAAAAACTGTTTTTAAGGCTTTTTAATTTGATTTCAGATTAATGTGAGGATATGAACAATTAGCTTACAATGTTTGCATTTGTTAGGTGGAGTCCCTATTATAGTTGGGTGGAGATGTGTCCTGTACCCTTACACTGAAAGCACCTTTTCTATTATTTACTGGGCCTACTTTTCATGCAGTTTATATGGGGAAAATCAAATTTCCCTACATTAGATGGTCTGCTTTTGAAAGTAAAATGCCTGGTCCTTGATTTATCTATTCTCCATAAGTGCTTGGGGAGGTTTTGTTTTTCTCCCTAGGTCTTTGTTTTTTTCAAAGATTTAGGAAAATTTCAAGGAGTGACTCTTGTATTGCACAAAGACTGTTCACAGAAAAGAGGTTTGGCTGCCTGTTAACAAACACCTGGGGTGCCTCACTGGCACTTGGCTGCAATTGCAGCCTGCAGACTTTTGTTCATTCTCTGCCTCCTCCCTGACCGCTGGGTGCAGAGCTTGCTACAGGGCCACCTGAACTTACTGACCACTGGGTACAGAGCTTACTACAGGGCCACCTAAACTTAGTGTGGTGCATTTGAAGCCAGAGGGAGGGCTCCAGCTTTGATAGCTTTGATGGACATGTACTCATACAGCACCAAGATCATAACTCCTATCTATTGTCTGGAGGTTGCCAAGGCTCTCCTCGGAATCCTGCATTTCCAGCAAGTCCTTTAGTCACGGCTGTGACTAATCCACAGCAGACTTAGCAGTGCTTGTGTTTTTGGTCTTTCCCCCACCCCCACCCCCTGTCTCAAAGGCTTCAGTTTTATTAAAGTGTAATTTTGCACCCTGGGTTCAAAGAAATGATCACTAAATGTTTCTGATTGCTTAATTTGTTTTTGAGAGGCACCAATTTATTTAAAAGCAACTTAATAGTGGTATTTATTCTAAAACTGAGAAGACTTACCATTGCTGAATTGCTGAAATTCAAAAACTTGCACCATCAGGCCATAGCGGTGTGAACAAACACAGGGCCAGCAGCACGTTGAGTCTTTACTGATTGTCTCAAGTCAGTGAGACTCAAGTCAGTGGACTCTTTTTGTTTTGTTTTGTTTTGCTTTGCTGATTGTAAAAGGAATTCCTATTCATTGCCAAATTTTCAGAAAATAGCAGAAATTTTAAAGAAGAAAACCAGTAAGTAGTTACAATTTTACTGTCCCAAAATCTGTTAACATATAGGGCATTTCTTTTCTGTATTTTTCTTTAGATATAAATACCTTTAATTTCCAAAATTAGTATTATAATGTATATATAGCTTTGCTATTTTCCTTTTTTCTAACTTAATATGGTAACATGTTCTTTTCTTCCATGTCATTAAAAATCACACTTTTGCATAAAGCATTCATTGCTTAGATCTGGTATATTCTGTTGCAGTGGGAAGAGGAGAGGAACTTTGGTGCATCCCTATTACTTCTAGGCCTGAAACAAAAGAACACAGTGGGTTTGAGTTCCCAGTTGTATGCCTACGCACTTCTTGGTAAGCCAAGTGATCTTACAAGTATTGTTCTTTGTGGATAGAACAGATGCATGCTTGTCATTCTTAATAAAATTATAATTTGGTTTAAATTTCCTAGGGAGATCCAATTATAGCCTTCATTTTTAGACATAAAAATAGATCTCGATGGCCTTATAGTTCCTCAATAAGAAAATAAAGAAGGTTCATAAAACCTGTCACCACTGGCAAAGAGAGAACTACTGTGAGTGGGCTTGGGTAAGGTGTAGTGGCCATCAGTGTGAAGAAAGGGTACAGAAAGGGAAGTTCTGGCCCTCATTAGGGAAAGCCACTCAATAGAGTCTTTTCCAGTATTAATAAAAATCTTTCCATCTCTTTAGACCTAAAGTTCAGAAGGAAGAAATTAAGGGTTAGAGTTGAACTTAGATCTTTGGGATTGTTTTCAAGTGAGATAAGAGAAGCTCAGCACAAGTATGATAGTCCTTTGGGAAAAACAGAACAGCTAATTGGTGCAGTGGGATGGGGGCTAAACTTTTGTGCCCTGTTTGCATTGAAAATCAGACAGGTCAAGAAGAGAAAGCCTTCTGAGGAGTGATCTTAGAACCCCAGTTGTGCGGAATCTGGGCGAATAGCATTCAGCCTTAATGTATGTAAAATACTGTCTCATTTACAGAGGTTTATGAAAAACAAGTTATTTCCTCCTTGTCCCTTCTCTCATGTAGTCAGGCATCTGGGAAAGCACCTTCTCTTTACCACCATTGCTCCTGCTTCCCTTTGCCTTCTGAAAGTCAAGGTTACAGCAGTGCGATGGCTTTTGAAGTTGCTCTCTGTCAACAAAATGTAGTGTGGTATTTTTGGACGCTGATTCTGTTACAGTACCTTAGAAAAATTTTAGTTGGTTGACTGGCTCTCAGTCTAACAAAACAGTTGACCACACTTTTTAGAAACCATTTTTTCTTATTTGCCACTTTTGATATTGATTTACATCTGTTTTCCTTTGCTTTCAGATGAGAATTCAGGACTGTTACACTGCTTAGATTGTTCAGGAACTTGGCAGGGCTGAGGATGTATACTATGTTGTTTATGAGCAGTGGCCCTGGTCCTGCTGGTCCTGTGTGGCCGGCAGCCATCCACTCAGGAGCCCTGTGCTTTCACTCTGTCATATGCTGTGCAGCCTGGAAACAGCTGCCCAGACTGTGACTGCAGTCTAGCCCCAAGCACCTTAAAGGCCTAAAATTAGCTGGCGCCTGATAAGCTTTGTCTGTTTATGTCTGACTGTAGCTTTCCCAAATCCTCCTTTCCAGGAAAGGTAAGTGAAGGTGGATTTAAGACCTGGCAGCTCAAGGTGACTTTGGTCATTAGTGCAGAGAGGGTTTCTGCTCCACAGGAATCCAGACAGCCCCTCTCCCTACAAAGGCCTCTGCTGTCTGGCGTCCACGTCTTCAGCTCCAGTCATGACGGCTTGAGCTACCAAGAATAACATTCATATCTAGAGGTCCAAAAGCATCACAGAGATTCTGTGATTTAAGAACTGGTGAAGCTCAAGTAAAGGAAAGAAGGGGAAAATGAGATTTATTTCATAAAGATAACAGATTTGAGTGTTTTGGAACATTGCAAAAAATCTCAAACATTTCCTAGCAGGGAAAGTTGTCAGATGTTGACAAGATTGTCATAGCAGGAAAGTTGTGGGATTTCTTTTTGTAGGGAAGCTTTTATTCTTAAAACAAAAATTTCGTTTGTTTTTCTGGAGGGTGGGGGTGGTTGTTTTTGTTTTTTTAAGACAGGGTCTCTCTCTTTTGCCCAGGCTGGATTGCAATGACATAATCATGGCTCCCTATACCCTTGAACTCCTGGGCTCACCTGATCCTCCTATCTCAGCCTCCTGAGTAGCTGGGACTTGAGGTGACCTGTTTGTTAAGGGTAACTCTGTTTAAATGCCCATATATCAACCTCTCTATATCTCCTTCAGCCCAGTGATTCATACATCCTCATGATAATCTCCACCAGCCCAAATAAAAAAGAAAGAGTTCACACGATTTTGTATTCAAAAGTGTATGCAGTGAATTTTACGATACTCTTCATCATCCATTTGAAATGTCCCCAGGTCACTGGGTGGGCTAAGGCTCTTGATGCAGTTCAGAAATGATCCTTTGTTTCCAGAGCTGCCAGGCAAATATTCACTTGGACCATCAAGTCTGCATTCTCAGACATGGGGGGAAGACACAGCTGAGTGTTCTTTATTATTATTTTTGGCTACAGGGAAGGTAGAATTGCAGCAAGGGCTACGGGCCGTATACCATGACATGCCCCTGATATGGAAACCAGGCTACCTTGACAGAGCCCTTCAAGTGATGGAGACAGTGGCCTCCTCCCCAGAAGACAGAAAGCTGTGCAGAGAAGCGGTGTGTGCCTCAGCCCTGATTCTGTGAGATTCAACCATCTTCTGGTCCTCTTGACAAGCTGAGCTTAGAATTTGTTTCCACTGTCTACCTCTACTTTCTTTTAATAGAATATGTCCTTATTTAGTTGAAAACGAATGAAAAACTACAACCATTTTCAATGCTACTGACGAAAAATTAGATTAATGGTGAATTAAAGCTCATTGTCCAGGAAGAAAGTGATTCCCCTCCCCTGAATTCAAGTTGTATTCAATAAAATAATGCCTATTTCACTGTCTCCTCCCTCTACTCCCCCCTCAAAAAAAAATCAAAAAAAGGTAAAGTTTTATTTTAAGGTTTTTGAAGTATTTTTGGCATTTCTGTACCCTTGTATAGTCCTAAGAGACTACATAGCATTTTTTACCCTATAAAAGACGTGGTCATAAAAGAAATGAATCTGGGACTGGAAAGGGGAAATCTTACTTTCCTTCTGTTAAGCCATTGTGTGGTGAATGTGTGCTGGTGAGGAGATTGGATCAGGTGTTCCTTTGCGTAGACTAGAACTCTTGTCTTCCCACCAGCCCCAGAGCTCATCCCTCTTACTCTCTGAGGCCCCTTGACACTATGAACTTGCTAAACTTAGCTGAGACCCTGGGAGACATGGTGAGCCTCAGACCCCACAAATAGCAACAGCATCTGCTCCTCACATTTACAGCCAGAGCAAAGCCTGGCAGGACATTGGTTGTCTCGTTTCCAGGGTAGAAGGGTTGCCTTGGAGCCACTTACCTGTCTGGTCTTGGCACTGATTGCCAGGGCTCACCCTTGGCTTTCATTTCATTCCTGGCATGCACTGGTCTGGTGCCTATACCAGCACCTTGTGTTAATGTCCCATGAATCATTATGTTCTTTGCCAGACATTTATAACAAAGGAGGCACTTTTCTAAGTATATTTGTTTTAATCCTGCTATAGTCATGGTAGTGGTTAAAAACACAAAATTATGTATCATTCTTTTGGCAGGGAGATTGCCACTACCCAGTCCCAGATTCATTTCTTATTTTCAATCTGAGCCAGATTTGCATTCTTTGTATTGTGACTTAATATAAACATGTTTCTGATGTCAGCAAGAACATAATATGTGTCCAATTTGGGTGTAGTAAGTTAGTAGTGTTAAAAGGCCTTGGACTGTTTTCTGGCTTGTGTTCTGATGAGGCATGGTCAGGAATAAGTGCTGTCCAAGCAGGTGCATACCCTGGCCTTGCTGCTGCTCCTGCCGCACCTCCGACGATGAGGCCCCTGCAGGTTGAGGGAGGAATTGAGAGGGGTTAAAACACAAGGAAGCCCTCTGGTTTTAATTTACTTAGTCACAGGCACCACCTTGTGAAAGTGAATTTCACATGTGCATCTCTGGTCTGTCTTAGCAGTTTCTGAGGATAACAGTGATCCTTACTTCACAGATACCCTGTGAGCTAAGACCTTCCTCTGAGGGACGCCCTTCCCTACGTGCAGAGGCTTTAACATGCATTCAAAATGGCCTTGTGTCATTTGTGGTCAGTAGTGGTCTCTCTTTCCCTTTGTCCCAGGCCCAAACTGATTGAAGAAGAAAGATGTGGTCGGGGAAGGTAGTTTAGTACCCATCAAGCACTGTGCTTGATTTCCTACTTCAGTAACTAAAAGTGAGCTTTAAATGCTTGTGCTGGTTCACTTACACCAGCGGTGATCAACCTGTGGGTCACAACCCACAGGAACTGTATTAAAGGGTCGCGGCATTAGGAAGGCTGAGAACCACTGACTTACACCAATAATTCTTAGCTTGCTTATTTATACCATTTGTTTCCTTCCAAGTTCTCCATGCCTACCCAGTAAACTGTTTCTAATATGAAAAAATGCAGCCATTTCTATTTCCTACAGTTTTATTGTGTCTCATTCCTTTCTTGCACCTCCAGCCTTCCTTCATAGTATTCTTTTAGGACCACAAAATGTCTAGTCACTGACCCTCTTCCTACTCTGCAGCTTGACGTGCTGAACGGGGTGCTGAAGGCTCTGACTTCTCCAGCAGACAAGGCTTCAGAGGAACAGTCCCAGGAAGGTGAAGACAACCAGGGGTCAGGAAAAGTGATGGAGCAGTTGGACATAGAGGAAACAGAACAGTCCAAGCTTCCCCAATACCTGGAACGATTTAAGGTGAATTGTAGCAGAATTGCGTGTCTCCGAGCTGTGCATAAAACATGCTGCACTGCTGTGGTGATAGACAAGTAATCTTTTCATGCATCAATGTCATGCACAAAGGCATTAAAAACTGACATCAAAAATCACATTTTTATTGCTTCGCACATGAAGCGGTCTCAAAAGGAACCAATGGAATCTTTATGCTCCTTTTTGTATTTGAGCCAGTTAGTGACAATTTGTTCACTAAGGCACTGATGTGTGCCTGATGGGTGGATAATAGCTTACTGCCTCATAGCAGCAATAACCTGACTTCCACTCTGAGTGGAAAGCACCTGGCCATTTCTCCATCTTGCACTAAGTGCACTTTGTAACCTAGAAACCCAAGTCAGACATTACAAAGCCACCTTTAAGTATGTAGAGATAGGACACAGACATCTCTTATTGCTCATCTTTGGAAGCTTTGTGTTATTCACTAGGTTCATTGGAAATACTCCCTTGTCCTACATGGAAGATGTGAAGGTTTCCAGTGTTTCTTCTGAGACAGCCTTGAGCACACAAGCTGCCTTGAGTAGCTTCTAACTGTACAACCAAAAACGCTCTGCGATCAGTGTTAAGAAAATAGAACCACGTTCAGTGCTTAAACCCTTGGCCTCTTCCTTGTTTCTTGTCTATTGGGCACAGAGAGAAAAAAGTGCTGCTTGAGTGAGAATTCTTTGTACAGAGCAAAAATCCTTTCTCATCCATGCCAGCTGATCTGTTGTTATTTCAGGATTGATAGATGTAAACTTTGCTACATCATTACGTTTAAATCTTTTAGTGATTTTATTGAACCAGCTATTATATTGAACCTATTTCCTAATGTTATAAAGGGGATTCTGTTGTGGATTGTTTTGTTTTGCCTTGAAATAAAATCTCACTTGGATACCCAGGGTAGAGTGCAGTGGCATCATCATAACTCACTGTAACCTCAAACTCCTGGGCTCAAGCAATCTTCCCATATAGCTGGGAGTGCAGATACTTGCCTTAGCTAATTTTTCTATTTCTTGTAGTGATAGGTCTCTTTGTGTCACTCAGGCTGGTCTCAAACTCCTAACCTCAAGTGATCATCCTGCCTTGGCCTCCCAGAGTTCTAGGATTACAGACCTGAGCCACCTGCCCAGCCTAGATTCTCTTGTCTTTTTGTAGCTATTTCTTTCACACTAAATAAGGTCATTGCTCAATGTCTCTCTTATGATCTGTGTGTGGAGTTTTTTTTGTTTTGTTTGGTGGGGGGGGCACAGGGGGAGTTGTTTTGTTTTGAAACAGTGTCTATTACCCAGGCTGGAGTGCAGTGGCATGATTATAGCTTACTGCAACCCCAAACTCCTGGACTGGAGTCATCTTCTAGCTTTTGCTGAGGCTGGCCTCCAACTCCTGACCCCAAGCAATCCTCTTGTCTTGGACTTCCAGAATGCTAGGATTACAGGTGTGGGCCACTGTGCCTGGCCTCTCCTTTATAATTTGAAACTAAGAGAGAAAGGTTAATTGATGTTCCCCAGGTACACAGAGAATTGACCATAGATAACTGTCCTTTCCTCTTAACTTCACCTACCTTTGTAGATTTAGAAAGGCTAAAGAAAAAATTTATGTAGCCCTACATATGATTATTCACTACATTTACATTGACCAGTGTCGCCAAATCATGCCTAAAAATTTTTCTTATATATATGTCGGAGAATAGAAACCTGTACCTGCATTAAGTTCTCAGCCCTCATTCTTTTTTGTTTTTGTTTTTTTTTGAGATAGAGCTTCAAGCTGTTCCCCTAGGTAGAGTGCCGTGGCATCACAGCTCACAGCAACCTCCATCTCCTGCCTCCATCTCAAGCTCCTGCCTCTGCCTCCCAAGTAGCTGGGACCACAGGCGCCC